AAAAAAAAAAAAACATTGCTGAAAAGGTTCACTACCAAACTCCTACTGCCAGGGTCCAAAACCGCCACCCGCTCGATATGGTTCTAGCAGACCAGCTGAAGTCCTCAACCGCAGTGTGTTCTCACTTCAACTCCTGACCCTTCGTCTCCCTTCATTCTCTCACTGACTTTGGACTTATTGTGCTAAACTAGATACTCACATTTTTAATACTTTGGAATGGGCCGCTCAGCCCACAGGACAGATTTAGTGTGTTTGAATGTTGGATTTCTAAAAGGCCTTATATTTTGTTGTTTTCCATGATTATTATCCAAACCATGCAAGTGAAAGTGAGACTTTGCCGATTTCCTGTCCATCAGAGACGCTGGCCCAGCCTGTGAAGCAGAAAGCACGGTTTAAGATCAAAGATGCCAAGTGCCACCTGAGACCCCGCAATAAGGAGAAACACAGGGAAATGGGAAAACAGGGCCTTCAGGGTGAGAAATAACACACCAAACACTGCACATTCAAAAGTATGTTTTCATAAAATGATGAAACATGTATAGTCTAACTCATTTTTCTCTTTGTTTCCTATTTTTCTTCTCCTCTTTTTTCTTTCCCTTTTCATTTCTTGATTTTTCCTTTCCTTTTTTGTCTTTTTCTTTACGTTGTTACTATTCCCTTTTCATTTCATTTTCTTTTGTCTTCTTTTCTTTTCATTCATCATTTTCCTTTTCCCTCTTTTTCTGATTCCTGTTTTCTTCTCCATTGTCCTGCTTTTTCTTCTCTTCTCCTTTAATCTTTTTTGTTTGCTTGTTTTTATTTACTGTTTCCTGTTTTCTTTCCTTTTTTCACTACTTATTTTTCCTGTTCTCTTTACATTTTCTGCCTTCTCCTGCTTCTTTTCTTTTCCTTTCCATTTTTCTTTTCCTATTTCCTCTTTTTCTCCTTTCCTTTTTTGTATTTACCTTCCCCTTCATGCGTCATGTCTTCTCCTTTTCACGTTTTTCTTTTCTCTTCTTTTTTCCCCATTTCCATTTTCTGTTCCCTATCATTTTTTCTTCACATTTTCCCTTTTATTTTTTCCTGTTGTTTCCTTTCCTTTCCTTTCCTTTCCTTTCCTTTTCTCTTTTCTTTCTCATTTGCTTTTTCTCTTTTATTTGATCTTTCTACCTGTTTCCTTTTCTTTTCTGTATCCTTCCTTTATTCTTCTTGTTTCCTGTTTCACTTACTTTTTCTCTTCTCCTTTCCTGATTACATTCATTTTTCTTTCCCATTTATCTTTCCTTTTCTTTCAGCAGCTGGTCAGTTCCCCTGCACAGACGACTGTCAGGTGACATTTGTGAATCTGAAGTGCGACTCTTCCAAAAAGCGCCGTCGTGGCCGCAAGTCTCCATCCAAGGAAGTCTCCCACATCACAGCGGAGTTTGAGATGGAAATGAAAGAAGAGGAAGCCTCAGGTAACATTGCCTTAATGTGTGTACATTAGTTCTCTCTATGTTCACAATGTCATGCCATCTGTGACTTTAGAATACAAATGTGATTGTTTTCATACTTATATATGTGTCAGAATCATGTAACGTGGACTGTGTGCGTGAGAAGACCAAACTGAGGCTGCAGAACGCCATGCGCACACTAAGGAAGTCCATCAGTAAGCAGCAGTTCTACATTCAGTTCTCCGGCACGGCGTACGAGGTGGCCCAGCGTGCCGTGCGACAGACAGATGGAGATGAGGCCTGCAGTATAGGACAAGTCCTCACCGACGGGAAGTGTGGTGAGCATTCTGTGAAACGCTTTTGTTTTCTGAACTGGTGTATTATTGAAGACAGTTTCATAAGTCTGTGTGTGTTTCTGTGTGTTCATGTATCTCCCAGTCAGCTGCGGTGTGGGAACGTTCTACAGCGGAGAACAGGAACAGTGCATGATATGTCCGCCAGGAACCTATCAGGACAGAGAGGGCCAGCTGTCCTGCGAGCCCTGCCCCAGCACCGAGGGACAGGGCATCGCAGGGGCCAAGAACGTCTCCGAATGTGGAGGTGTGTGTGGATACACATTAGAAAACACTCAATCAATGAATAGCTTTGTGATGGTAATGTAACACCTATTGATTATTGGAACTGATTGATGCAAGACCATCCCCTTTTTTTAAATTAATCAATACATTTTGAAATTCGGGGGTCAATATTGCCCAAAAATCCCAGAATTGCCCATTATAATGCAAATGTGTGATTTCCTATGAAGGACTGAGCAAAGTCTGGATCAATTGGTAGAAGCACAATTTGACCATTAGAGCAGCTCAAGCGCAGCCACACCTCAATGCTAACCCATTTTTAGGCGATTCTCATGCGTGTTGCAGTGCACACAATGCTCATAATACTTCAATTCTTAAGTTCAGTTGACTATTGATTGAGACCTCTTTGCTTTTAGCTCTCCCTTGTGGAATTAAAAAGAAATCATGATACAAACACTGAGACACTTTTCTGTTTATCAGAATCAGAATCAGAATCAGAAAGAGCTTTATTGCCAAGTATGTTTGCACATACAAGGAATTTGTTATAGTGTCACAAGCTTCCAGTACACGGAGACAACAACAACACATAGATAATAAAAATAAGATGTGAATAAAATACACATGCATAAATATAAACCACAAAAAAAGAATAAATTGTATGTATAGGTGTGCTATAGATAGAATAGGAATAGAATAAAATAAAATAAAGTTGTAGGGATGTACTAGGATTTAGGGAGATAAATAAGTATAAGGTTATTGCACATTCTTTAATTGCACAATGGGAGAACATTAACTGTTCATGAGGTAGATTGCCTGGGGAAAGAAACTGTTCTTGTGCCTGGCTGTCCTGGTATTCGGTGCTCTGTAACGCCGACCAGATGGCAAAAGTTCAAAAAGGAGATGGCTTGGATGTGATGGTATAATGGTGATGATTTATAGTTATTTAGTTAAATGTTCAGGTTGTGCATTTCTATACAGTGGTAGTGTAATATAACACAATATGTTTTACTGCATTTTACTCAACCGCAAATTTTACCAACCCCAAACATTTAAACTGTAGTGTGCAAGTTCTGTTTTTATTTATTAAATGTTTAAAATGTGACTTAATTCATTCTCTGGTTGTAGGCCAGTGTCCTGCCGGTCAGTTCTCTGCTGATGGTTTCCATCCGTGTCAGCCTTGCCCGCTGGGAACCTTCCAGCCTGAGCCGGGCCGTGTGTTGTGTTTCCCTTGTGGAGGAGGACTCATGACTAAACACACGGGCAGCACATCCTTTAGAGACTGTGAAGCCAAAGGTATGCTGGGAAACACTGCAACTCCTGGATAATACTTCAAAGCGTGCACATTTCTTATGTGCTTATATAATTTGCATTCTCTCTTCCCCTTATTTCCAGTTCACTGTGCTCTCGGGCATTATTATAATGCCACCACACACCGGTGCATCCGTTGTCCGGGTGGTACCTACCAGTCTGAGTCCGGACAGAACTACTGCATCACCTGCCCTGGAAACACCACTACAGATTTTGACGGCGCTAACAATGTATCTCACTGCAAAAGTAAGTCAGATTCTTGCAAATCCACTCACAGATCACATAATAAGCAGTGAATTCAAGGGTCTGTCTGTTTTATCCCGTGCAGATCAGCTATGTGGTGGTGAGCTGGGAGATTTCATGGGCTACATCGAATCTCCCAACTATCCTGGCGACTATCCATCTAATGTGAACTGCGTCTGGACCATTAACCCTCCGAACAAGAGGCGCATCCTTATTGTTGTACCAGAGATCTTCCTTCCAATTGAGGACGAGTGTGGGGATGTTCTTGTCATGAGGAAGAGTGGTATGGTATACCTGTCGTTTTGGATGCTGGTTAATTATTGCAGCAAGAAACCAAGTTATTGAGCTCCTCCCCTCTTTTTTTTTTTTTTAGCCCAGCCTACTTCCATTACAACTTATGAGACATGCCAAACTTATGAGCGACCAATCGCCTTCACCTCCCGTTCACGCAAGCTGTGGATCCAGTTCATATCTAATGAGGGAAACAGTGGAAAGGGATTTCAGGTTCCATATGTCACTTACGATGGTAAGATAAAGTCCGAACACAGCCATATACATTTATGCACCCACATTCACATACAGTAAGGTTACCATTAGAAGTGAATGGTACAGTAGATTTAGTCAGTGTTTGTAATTAATCAACCATTCAAAAGTTTGGGGTCAGATTTTTTTTTAATATTAATACTTTTATTCAGTAAGTATGCATTCAATTGTGACATTAAGTGACATTAAAGACATTTATAATGTTACAAAAGATTTCTAAAGATTCCTGGGGGAATAAAAAGTATCATGATGTCCACAAAAATATTAAGCAGCGCAACACTTTCAACAATGATGATGATCAGAACTGTTTATTAAGCAGCAAATCAGCACATTAGAATGATTTCTGAAGACTGGAGTAATGATGTTGAAAATTCAGCTTTACCATCACAGGATAAATAAATGAATTTTTGTAATGAATAATTTTAAAATAAATAAATTTTTAATTATTTTAAAATATATTCAGATAGAAAAGTGTTATTTTAAATTGTAATAATGTTTCACAATATTTTTGATTTAAATACAGATTTTTACATAAATATTGTCAAAATTGGTTGTAACAACGTTCGTAGTTAGGGAAGAAGGAGGCGGGAACCGGCGAACATTTAAAGAAAACTTTAATAAAATAAACAAACTCGAAATAGCGCGACAGCCCCTCGCGGACGACTGTCGCGCACAAACAGAACCAAAACACAAAATAAAGTCCAGGCCTGGTCCTCTCTCGTCCAACACTGTCGTCACTCCTCCTTTTATCCTTCCGGAGCTCCTCCGTGGGACTCGAGACCGGTGAGTGGTGCAGGTGTCACGCATTAGCATTTACTCCACCGGCCTCGCTCCGTTCCCACGGCTCTCGGCCCCGCCCCTCTCGTCACATTGGTATATGGTACATTATTATTAGAAAATAGATTTGAAAATATGTAAAAACTGTAAATTGTAATACATGCATACATACATCATAAATAAATAAATAATAAAAAAAAAAGATAAAGAATAATACATACTAGATATATCAGTTTTTGTTGTTGAAAGCAATATGTGTTTGTCATTACAGAAGACTACCAGCAACTCATAGAGGACATTGTTCGAGACGGTCGACTTTATGCCTCAGAAAACCACCAGGAGATATTAAAAGTGAGCATATATTTTCACTACAGCAAGTAACTGTAGTCAAACGTGACTTCATCTACCACTTTTAATTCTCTGTTTCTGTGTTTTCAGGATAAGAAGCTGATTAAAGCTCTGTTTGACGTGCTGGCTCACCCTCATAACTACTTTAAATACACCGTGCAGGAATCAAAGGAGATGTTCCCACGATCCTTTATCAAACTGCTACGCTCCAAAGTGTCCAGGTTTCTACGGCCGTATAAATAGAAACCCTGAACATTTCTTCCACGACCTCGGCTCTATCCCCATCTCTCTTCCTCTCTTTTCTCCACTAGCTCCCAGAAGGCCTCACTACTGCAAGAAGATAAAGACGTTTGGCCTTCTTCCTGTCTGAGATTTGTCCATTTGTCCCTTTTTGTCTTTGTTTGTTTTTTTTGTTTGCTAATATTTATGTGCTTGATTTTGCAAAAGCCCCCTTTGGATGTTTGATATCTACAGTATATATTTGTATATGGATGTATGTATATATGTGTGTGTGCGCGTACAAAAAATTATGTGCAAACTTATGGCATATTAGGACACATACAGACACAAACAGATATATATTCTTGTTTTGAAAAAGTTATTTTCATGCCCCTAATGTGCACAAGGGGTTTCAATATCCTAGTGCACTTAAAGTTTTCTTTTCAAACTGTATGAGAAAGGAATCGCTTTCTGCTCTGACCACAACATAAAAGACAAAGGCAGACAAATTAAAGAAAAAAAAAAACAAGATAAAAGGCAAAGACTACCTGTCGGTACGAGAGTTAGAGTTACGTGTACGTTGTTTAACTAGTATTTGGAGCTTCAATTGCACTTGAATTTTATATTGTAGAGAATAAGGAATCTAAGTTACTTTTTCCTTTAATGTTTTTGTTGTATAGAGATGTTTTACTTTGGGTGTAGAAACATGAAATGTCCAAACTTCCCCTCTACAGGATACAGAAAGATATTCTCACCTATCCCTCACAACAGAAACAGATTTCATAATAATCCTCTCATAATAAGGTTTTTTGCAGTTTAATATAAAAAAGTGTTGAAGTACCATAATGTTTCACTGGGTTTGCTTATGATGTTGCTTATATCATGTGTTTTAATTTCACATGATGCAATGGGTTTGTCATTAATCTGGTTGTTATTGTGCATGGAACATTTAGAGAAATTGTAAATATGGTGATTTTTGGCAAGTCAGATTTTTATTTGAGCTGGTTGTGTCATAAACTCATGGAAATGGATGCGTTTTGATTCAGAACAACAAAAAATCCCATTTGGATTAAGAGTCTTATGGTCTTTTACATAGTTATAACACGTATATTACATAATAACATATCACCTTTGTGCTGTGCACAAAGAGACATATTTTGCTCTTCTTGTTGAACTGTGGATGAAAGTCAGAGGCTGTTTGTTAAACAGATGACATACCTGAAGTATGTGAATGATGACTGGCAAAAAAGAAAAAAAACAGATCAGATCATTTCCCCTCACAAATCAGCAGAATGCGCTTGTAGGAAGACAAAAAAAATGATAGAGTGAGTGTCTATATGTAGTTTGGGTACAATTTTATTAAATATAATTTGCCCATTTTGTGTAAACTGATTTGGTGATCTTTTTGCAAGTCTACACTCTAAAAAATGCTGGGTTAAATACAACCCAGTGCTGGGTAAAATAGGGACAAACCCAGCAATTGGGTTGTTTTGACCCAGC